ACATCACTGAGTGACTCTACCTCACTATGGTGACTCTTATCACTCCAAATGCCTTGGAAAGACAATTTCTTCCTGAGTAATAAGAAAAACTGGCAAACAATGAGGACCACTGCCAAGAGAGTCACCAGAATCTCTAGCTGGTCACAAAAGCTACCGCCTTGGATCCCCACACTTCTTTACTCCCAGGATTACTGAATGTGCAGCAAAGACATTAGGTAAAGAGCCCGGGGAAGTACAGGAATCTACGAAAACTACATTTGTTGCTGCACCAGTGACCCTGGCCGTAACAACATGGCCCTGGAGATCCTGAGATTTTTAGATACCCTGATCCCATTCAGCCATAGTGCCTGGACTGTTTGGATTTTTTCTGGGGTGAGATGGAGTCTCTCCTATCCGTCAGGCTGGAGTGCAGTGGCTGATCTCGGCTCACTGCAATCTCCACTTTCCGGGTTCCGGCGATTCTCCTGCCTCAGCTTCTCATGTAGCTGGGACTACAGGTGTGCACCACCACGCCCAGCTAATTTTTGTATTTTTTAGTAGAGATAGGGTTTCACCCTATTGGCCAGGCTGTTCTCAAAACTCCTGACTTCGTGATCCACCTGCCTTGACCTCCCAAAGTACTGGGATTACAGGCATGAGCCACTGTGCCCAACCAGATATTTTTATAATGGGCACTTCTCCTCTAGTTTGCCACAAATCACCCAATCCCAATTATTCACACCAAATATTTATCAGTTTTATTTCCATACTGGATGCTTTAGTTCTTACTAAGAGTGGCCTGTGTACCAGATGTTGGCCTTCAGGGAATATGACCACTCAGCGGGGTCTGAGGAACAGCTTTCCCTCAACAGTGTTGGGAAACATGGGACATATGCTAGAAACAAGACACCTAAGCCATGCTGTTTCAAAACACTGAAGGCTGTCAGCAGCAGCACCCTCCTCAAGGTGACATATGGGCTCTCAAATAAGTCTAAAATCCGGACAAATCAGGCCTACAAAGATCTGAATTGTTACTTAACAAGCTTTGTCAGCTATGGAAGTTAACTTAGTCCAGTCCAAAACTGGACTAAGAACTGTTCTCCCTCAACCCACTTTCCCATTTGAGGCACACAAAGCTGGAGGCCCCCCACAAAGTCTGTCTTCAGTTTGGCAGAGCCTGTTTTCAGTCCACTCCAGTGAAAAGAACCCCCAAGATTAAAGGTGGCTTCAACTGTAAGGCCTTTATTATCACAAACCAGAGCAACATGAGGCAAATACTTTCCCAGGCCAGGGGACTTGGAGGCTGCAAAAATTCATTACAAGTATGTGAGACCAGGACTATCCATGAAGAAAGTAAACCTTCTGCATAAGCCACCAGCAGATATAGCTCAGACCTTCTTGGCTAAAGATGGGTCATGTCCATATCTATACCTGTCACACAGAAGGGAATGGGCACCCCCAACGAACTCAGGCATTTCATGATTTTCTCCAGGGACTGGAGAATATAAAACACTGCCTTCCCCAATGCTGGGGTATCTAAGCTGATACAGACGGTTTTGGCCACAGGCATTGACAGTGATGTAACTCTGGCAAAAAACCTGAGCAGGTCAGGAAGTGCAACATATCTCTAGATGCTTCCTACATACCTGACACCATAAGGTGTCTCCCTTGTGTTAATGTTCAGATATATGAAGTTCAACATCTGACTGATGAGTTCTGTTGTATTCAAAGACTCCTAGAGCCTGCCTGCAGTGTGAACTTTCTGGTGCCGATTAAGGTGGGAGCTTAAGCTGTAGGCCTTCCCACATTCACTGCACTCATATGGCCTTTCTCCAGTATGAACTCTTTGGTGCCGAACAAGGTGGGAGGTTCTGATAAAATCTTTCCCACATTTACTGCATACAAAAGGCCTTTCACCAGTGTGAACCCTCTGGTGTGCAATAAAGTCAGAACTTCGACTAAAGAATTTCCCGCATTCAATGCACTCAAAAGGCTTTGACTCAGTGTGAATTCGCTGATGTTTAATGAGGGTGTATTTGTGGCCAAAGGATTTCCCACAATCACTGCAATCATAAGGATTTTCTCCAGTGTGAATACTTTCATGCTGAACAAGTGTAGATTTGTGTCTAAAGACTTTCCCACAATCACTACACTTATAAGGCCTTGCTCCATTGTGAACTCTCTGGTGTACAATTAGATTGGAGTGATGGCTAAAATATTTCCCACATTCATTGCACTTATAAGGCATTTCTCCAGTGTGGATTCTCTTGTGCTGAGTAAGGTTGTCTTTTCGACTGAAGGTTTTTCCACATTCACTGCACTCATAAGGTCTTTCTCCAGTATGGATTCTCTGGTGCTGGACAAGTGTAGCTTTGCGGCTGAAGGCTTTTCCACATTCGCTGCACTCGTAAGGCTTCTCTCCACTATGGATTCTCTGGTGCTGGACAAGTGTGTCTTTGCGGCTGAAAGCCTTTCCACATTCACTGCACTCGTAATTCATTTGTTCACCATGAAATGCATCCCCACTCTCTGTGCTCCTGTGTGTCTTCCTCTTGCTTCGGGTGGCCTTTTGTTGGCAAGCACCCAAAGCAGCCTGGAAGTTTTTCTTCTCCTCCTTACAGGCAAAGGGCTTTTCTGAAGGGTGAGGTTCTTTGCTAACTGTGCAGTTATTCACAAATGAGGCCTCACCTTCATCTCTTCTTAAGGGTTTCTCTATACTGTAACACTTTGGGTGCTGGTGAAGGTTTGCACTGACCCAGAATTGTCTCTCACATGCCTCACATGTGTGAAGTTTCAGTCCATGGTGTGTACCCTGGTGTTCATCCAGGTGCAAAATATCTTTCAAGATGGGACCACATATATCACAACGGTGAGCTGTCTGTATGGACAAACCTGCCTTGGAAGTATTAACATGTGACACTGCTATAGAAACGCTCTGTTCAGAAGATGCCTCCTCATCCTTCACTCCATGCCAACAACCTGAAGGCAGAAAAATACCACTGATCTACATGGTGACTTTGATGAGTGGGGTAACTCCATCACAAAAGTCTGTCTGGTGTACCCAGGACTGAGTACATACCTAAGTTTCCTGGTGGAAAAGAGCTAGGATCAGGTTGAAGTACAGTACTGACGTACAGGGCTGCTGTACAGTATTGGAATCTACGAGTCACAGAATGGAGATGGCCTCACAAGAAACAAAGACACAAGGATGGGGTGTAGTGCAAGGAGAAGTGCAAGGTCTCCAACTTCATCCTCTGTAATGACTTTTAGCTGGACCTTGGCTGACTGTGGGTGACAGGAGACTGCTATGCAGAAATGCATGTCCAGGCCCATAAAAATGTGATTAAAAGTGAGTAATGTGTTCAGGGACTATTTCAGAATATGTACGCATCTTACGACACATTAGTGTTTAAGTATAGTCCAATATTGGACAGCACTGAAGAGAGTCCTATTGCTCTACTAGAGCCCCTCTGGTAGAGAGTAGGAGAGAACAGCCCTGGGTGAGAAGTCAGATTACAAATGACAAGAGTGTACAGAACACGAAAAAAGGTAAAAATAAGTTAGGGCCTCTGGCCTTGGCACCAGTGACGGGCACAACATAGGTTTCTGGAACTATAGGAACCCAGCCCTGAGGTTATGCTCTCCCTCAGCCTCAGCTCCCACTCACCAGGGCCTGCCCAAGCCCCTCCTGCTGTGACTAGAGTCATGCCCTCTTCAGTTAGGCAACTGGAGTTCTCTCTCTTGTTACAGTTCATCAACGACAGAGGACCTGGAAGATACAAAGCATAGGGGAAAGATGAAACCCATGCAAAATCACAAGAAAACAAATAATACAAAATGAACCTCAGAAAACTGTCCTACAGGAACAGTCCAGTGGTCCCACAAGTAGTGACCATGATGGCTGAAACTGATGACACACAAGCAGACTCAAAGAAATTGCAATTAGAGAAAGGGGGTGAAGTCTGGAGTCCAGGGGTTTCACGAATATGGACAGTCACCTGGCCAGGGAGAGGCCAAGCAGGATTCAGTGGTTTACCTTAGGACCCCTGACCCCTAAACAATTCCTGGCAAGGCTTCAGGGCATCAGGAGTTGAGGAACACAGGAAACAGAGGACACAATGCATCTAGCTGAGTCTTGGTACCAGAGGACATATGTGAGGGAATCAGAGAAGACAGCAGTGCCCATGCTCTTCATTTCTGCCCTATTGCTCTTGTCTTTCCATAGTACATGCAAGAGCAACCTCTAGGGCAAAAAGAGCAGAGCAGAGAACAGCCCAGTCCACAAAAATGGGATACTGGGGCCTTACCTAGGGAGACTATAAATGCAAAGCACAAAAACCATTATTTCATCATAGAAGAGTCTCTGAGCCTCATCAATCAGCTTCCATTCCTCCTCAGAGAAGCACATTAGTTAAGTCCTCAGAGGTCACATAGTCCCGTGTGAGGTGATGAACAACTGAGCTTAAGGGCAGCCCCTCTCTCCAGGAGTCACATCTAACTCAAATGAGACAACAGGCCCTGATGTGATTGGTGTCTGTTGTCTCCTCATATTCCATTAATCCTTTTGTCCAGCCTAGAACAGGCAAGTGGACAGACAAAACACCACGGCCTGGCTTCTCCTATCAGCCTGCTCCCCTGGGAACAACTGATTATGCCTCATATACAAACCTGACCTCAGCATTCTCTCAGAAACCCTCAGTAGCAAAGCTCTGGGCCCATGAATTCACACTCCATCTATATGTGTACATCACCCTTTTTGGCCATACCTACCTCACGTCTATGGACACCTACTACATAGGTACCTCCCTGGCTTCCCCAAATGCAAATCACACAGCATCCAGAGAATGCTTGCATAATGTATTCAGGATTACATCTGGTCCTAGTCAATGGCCCCACTGCCATGGTATCCTGAATCCAGCTATTAAATCCTCCTCTCCTGGCTCTATTTCATGGGTCAGTTCAGCAATCCAGAAACATGGGTAGAGCTCAGTTGAACACAGCACTTTTTTGCTTTGCTGCTGTACTACTGAGGTCAGTCTCCGGCTTTTGCTCAACATTTAACTCATTCAAAACCCACACCCACTGAGCACCTACCCCAAGCACAGTGATTCTGCCTACTGACCCAATCTGTCCCTGGGCTAATTCACTAGCTTGAAACTCCACAGGGGCCACCACGGAAGCCTGAAGACACATAAAGAGCTGAATAAGCACTGGCTCTGGTCTCACTGCCACCTCACTTCTATTACTACAGTACTTCACCTCACATCCACTCTCTCCCTGAAACTTTGCCACCTGCCTGAACCTATTATTCCCCTTCCTCCCAAGGACACTTCCCTCCCTCTTCTAGCCTCTAAGATGGCCCCTACCCCCACCCTGCTGTGCCTGCCCTTACATTGTGCTCTCTGATGGCACTGCCACCATGACCTAAAGATTCTCCCTCTAAACTAAAAGCAAAACTCTATCCTGATCCACATGCTAGCTGCCACCCTGTGGATAGCTCCAACCTCAGTCCCTTCTCTGAACTTCAGATCTCTGTGTCCAGCTGTCTACTTGACACCTCCACTCAAGTCTTTGGAACATGGCAGATTCCACATAGCCAAACTACACTGGTGATATAACCTCTGAAAGGTACTCCTACCACCAACTTTGTCCCCTCAGTTGATGGCATCCTTGTATCTTCTCAGGATAAAAAAATGCAGGGTCATCCTTCACCCCTCCCCTTTTCTATCTCATGTTCCAAAATGTGGTTGGTCCCTCTTTAAGGAAAATGATTCAGAATCTATCCACATTTCCCACCTCTACAGCCACCACTCAGGTCCAACCTAAACTGTTACATTAAGCTCCTCAGTGGTATTCCTTCCCTCATCCTCACTCCCACAGTCTTTTCTTCACTGGACAGTGAAGACAAAGCTGGTTAAGACCAAAGTCAGATCATTCCCTCCTAGATCCAAACCTGCAGTGGCTCCTACCTCTCTCAGCATAGAAACCCAGATCCTCAGGCGGCCTACCGTTCCTGGGCTGAATCCTTTTCCTGCTGTCTGATCCCACCAGTCATAACGGAGATCTGAGGCCAAACACTCCTAGTTTAGCCTCAAGTGAAGTATTTGCATGTGCTGGTTCCTGTGCCTGAGATAATGCTCCACACTCCATCCCACTGCTTGCCAGAAATGGAAACCCTTCCACATAATTCCAAAACACAGAGCTTTGGGTGACTGTAGGACCTCCCCAAACGGTAGGCAGAATGATCACTGAAGAGTCTCAGAACACTCTTAATTCTCTATACTGAGTTGCTGGGATAATGGGGGTGTGTCGGGCTAAGTGAGGGCCTGAGACAATCTGGACTCATCTAGGTAGGAATCACAAGCTTCTGCCACCATGGCAACCTCACAAGAAGAGGGAAGCTGGGAGTGGCAGGTTCCCACAGTGGGATCTCATGGACTGAACTGTTTCCCTAACCTCTGCCAACCCTGCTCTTTGGCAGGAATGATTTTGGGTCTTTTTTTTTTTTTCTTTAAAAAAAAACGGGGTTTCACCATGTTGGTCAGGCTGGTCTTGAACTCCCGACCTCAGGTGATCCACCCGCCTTGGCCTCCAAAGTGCTTGGATTACAGGCGTGAGCTACCACACCAGGCCAATTTTGGGTTACCTCTCTAATTTCAGATACTCAGACCTCAGTGCTGACTCCTGCCAGCTGTGTGAACATAAATAAAGACTCGTGTCTCAGTTTCCTCAACTTACAAGTGGCGATAATAATGGCACCCACCTCATAGGGCTATTGTTTGTATCAGGCTTGCCTGTACATGTGAAGTGCCTCTGAAACAGCTACTAATATCCATGCAAATGAACTGATGAGTTTTTGAAAAATTAAGTTTGTTTTGCTTGCTTTAAAAGCTTTTCAGAAAATTTGGTAAGATTTCCCATTGTAATAAAATACTTTAGACAAATTAATATTTTGACCAATCTTTTTTTTTTTTTTGAGATTTTTATAAATAATTTTATTTACAGAAAATTCACAGAGGATTAATAAAATGTCATGAATACAATTTTGTTGGTAATAGCAGAATCAGAGTTGACTAACATTAAGGTCACATGGTATATTAGTAATACAAACTAAAATATCAATTTTATGTTGGCTTTATCTATTATTTTTCATATTTCAATTTTAAACAAATCTAGAAATAAGGCAGTACATATGAAACAAATTTGCTAAGTAGTTTTAAATTATGCCACATTCTACATCAGATATTACCTCAATTTAAAAACCATCTGCAACCTGCCAGGCGCGGTGGCTCAAGCCTGTTAATCCCAGTCCTTTGGGAGGCCGAGGTGGGTGGATCACGAGGTCAAAAGATCGAGACCATCCTGGTATTTTGACCAATCATTAAGTGCTGGTATAAATTTAACTTATATGTACATTTTTTAGTTCCTTACTTCTGTGTACTTGCAAAGCATACACTGGCCCTTGCACTAAACCAGCCTACCTGATACATACTCCTATAAAGGGGAGCTGCATGATCCTTCATTAGAGATGTTCATTTTTGCTTACCTGTTTGGGTAACTGAGGCACCAGTGCACAGGTTGGGGATGGGACTGCTCCACAGGCAGTGCCCATGAGGGCGTGCTGAGCCTGTAGAGTGGCAAATCTACTGTATCTCAGGCCTTGGGCTCCAGTGCATGCCACGCTACTTAATGCTCTACAGCCCTCTCCTCTTGCTGACACCATAAAGAATCCTTTTACATGCCAGGACCCCTCCTTTCTGGAAGGAATCTTAAGTGTCCACACCTTCTTCCCTGGTCTGCCACCCTAACCCTACCTCTCACTTCAGAGACCATATAAAATAACATCCTTAACATCTCACCCTCTAAATCTCATCTACAGGCTTTGACCTTATGCCTCACGCATTGAACGTCTTTAGCACAACTCCCTCTCTCCAACTCCAGACCTGCATGTTCAGCTACCCATGAGAAGCTCCAATGCAGAACACCTGAGATTCACCAAGTCCAAAATCCAATTGCTGATCCCCCTGAAAGGTGCTCCCTGATCTGACTTACCAATTTCCATTCTTTCACACGTTCAAGAAGGCAAACAAACCGGCAATAAAAAAAAAAACCTGAAGAGCCCTTCCCTCCCTACATATACTCATCACCACATCTGATGCTGCAGGCAATCCTGTTGGTTCCATCTTTAAAAATCCATCCAGAATCTCATGACTTCCCTACCCCAACTCCTCCTGCCAGTGCTCGGGCCCAGCCATCAGACAACACTCCTGGAGTTTGTTGCAGGGGTCTCCTCAAAAGTCTCCCTGCCTCTATCCTCACCGTTTCTATCTCACTCTTGTCTGTTTCCTCCTCAGCGAACGCTGGAATACTTTAAAATGCTTTATCAGATTTCTTCCCTCCACTCTTGTATTTTTTTTTTTAAATACAATTTCAACTTTTTTTGTGAAAGGACCCTCCACCCTTATAAACTCACCATGGCTCCTACCGTCCTCACAATGAAGGTACAACTTTTCCCCGCGACACTGCGGGCGTGACTGCCGCTCACACACGTTCGCGACTGCTCCGGGCTCAGTCCAGCTCCACGCCTAAGCTCAGGCTGCCCGGCCCTTCTGCCCGTCACGCTCGCTCCTACCTTACACGCTGGTTTTGGGAACGGGCCCCACCCACCAGCGCCCCGCTGCCCCGGACACTGGGACCTGCGCTGCAGGGACTCAGGCAGGCGCTCCTCATTCAGGACTTCAGGATTCCCGGCGGGCAAAGTCTGGGGAACGCAGCACCCACCTGCGCCAGGCCCAACACCGCGGCCGCCGCCATCACAGTTCGTAGACCGCACCAAGCCGCGAGGTACACCCAGGTCGCGGAACCCTGGGACCGCGATGGTGCGACCCCGGGGGCGGAGGCGGGGGTCTTCGCTGGCGAGTCACTCTGCAGGGCGAACAGCGTCTCTTCCCGCACCCTCCCGCTTCCGCCACCTAGGAACCGTTCAGCAACCCCGAGCTTTTGCTCAGATGATCCCACCAGAAAGCCGACAACATGTCTGCCGCGAGGAAGATGCCGGAACTCCCGCCCAGAGACCTTCAGGCCGCAGGGAAACGCCCGTAACATTGCCGCCGCCGTGGGGCGCAGAGGTTTCTGGACAATGTAGTTCCCATGTGCACTGGGCCAGACCAGGGCTAACTCCCCTGCGCGCCGGGCGAAGGCTAAATGATATTGCGAGGGGTGCAGGGAAATTATGCCCTAAGACTCTGATGCCAGGGCGTAGCTTCGCTCCTCTTAAAGGACCCTCATCCATTTCCTGTGAAGTCTCTAGGGATCCCCGAAATATTGAGAGATACCTTCTTACATCTGTTCCCCAAAGCCACAAAACCAAATGGACACACAACAACCAATGTCACTCTGAGTCCACTCACGGTTCACTATTTTTTTATAATGGCAAGAGGCTTAATTGCCTCACAATTCCAATAACTAGAGAGGCCTCAGGAAAAGTAATCACGGCAAAAGTCATCCCTTCACAGGGCAGCAGGAGAGACAATGAGTGCTGAACGAAGGGGAAAGCTCCATATAAAACCACCAGGTCTGGTGGGAACTCACTCAATATCACGAGAACAATATGGGGGAAACCGTCCCTGTGATTCAGTTATCTCCACCTGGTCCCGCCCTTGACACGTGGGGATTACTACAATTTACAGTCAGAAGCCGGGCGCGGTGGCTCAAGCCTGTAATCCCAGCACTTTGGGAGGCCGAGGCGGGTGGATCAC